ATCAGCGATTGCGTTTTTGCCACTCAGAGCACTGAACATGGACAGCTTTTAAAGGTAGTGAGTAGGTCTGATAAGTGGCTCAATCCTTGTACTAAAGCATTTTTACTGAAGGTTTAATAGCTACTGTATAATGAATTATAATGTATTCTCTCCGATTGCAAATTTCCTCTAATACAGCCCTTCTGCTGTAGTGGAAAAAGTCCATCTGAATATTATTGTGACCAGCTTTTTAATAATACAAATCAATTGCATGATTTTAAGTAGTTAGACTCATACTTTTGTTGTAAATTTTCCCCCCAATGCCAAATGGAGTGGTGCTTGTATAATTGGAATAGCTAACCAATTTCAAAGCAGAAAAATTTTTCATCCCAAAAATGATTTGCTGTGTTTGTGGTACATCATGGTCAGCTCTAAGTCAACTGTATGTGTTAGTATAAAATACAGTCGAACATTTCAGCCTAGTTTGAACACATTGAAAAGCAATAGGCTTATGAATCATCTTGCTGTTCCAATTTAATGGAACATACCTTTCAATGACAGCGTGTACCAGCACATCATCAAAGTGAAACTTCCAAAGTTCCGCTTAACTTGTTGCTGAAATAGTTTCTCGTTTTCAAGAAAATTGCAGTGTGCCAAGTCTCCAGAAGTGTATCAGGGAATCTTCCTGAAGGAAAAATTGCCACTTGCATACTTGTCTTTGACCGAAGTGAAGCCCTCACCCACTCCAGGGGGAACATGTGCTGTTTAGGAAGATATAAAGGAGTAATTTTATTACTCGGTACATCTCCCCCTCAGAAGCCATTTCATTTCTCCTTTCAGCCTCCACAGAAGCCTTTATTTGATCTCATATTCCCGAGTATGACTGCCTCAAACCAGTCAGACTCCGTTTATTTTCATTTGGAAAACACATTTAGCGTTGAAGGGATGGCAAAGGATTTAAGTGAAGAGCAGGGGGTTCTGGTGTGGAAGGGACTGAGGCGAGTTTCTCTATCACATGTTAATGTTCTCCTGCAGGGATTGTTGGGAGCCAAACTTTAGATTTTTCTTTCCCGCAGTTTCTAGCGGTGTGACTGCTTTCAGCGTCATCACGAATAAGCTTTCAAACATTACCACTTCTAGTCTCCGCACAAATACTTCCCTGCAAATAGCTGCTAAGTTTGCATCCATACAGTGAAATTGATACAGCTGGATACCCTTTACTCAGTGCTTTGAAATTGCAGATCATTGAAAAAGTGTGCCATTTATTAGGCAGCCCACTTAGGCAGCCCAGATGTAGCTGGTCACTTGAGAGGGAGACTTCCTCATAAACTCTGAGCCTTTACAGCGGGCACAACACCCAACGGTGGAGTCAAAATTAACCCGCAACCTTCCCTCAACTCCACATACTTGGCTAAATCCTGAGCCAGTGCAGCTGTCTGGAGGAGCCTGCACCTTATACACACAATTCCTAAAAAACTCTCCCCCTCTTCCTCATTTATCAGTGTTTCGGTCTGTCTCTCTGTCTGTGCCTGCAGCACCTATATCCTCTCCAGCCTGTGTCTGGTGACAGCATAATGAAAACATTTTTGTGAGAAGTGTCGTTTCAGTGCTCCGGAAGTCCCACTCACCTAAATAGTTCCTTCTCTATGTCTTGTCTGTCTTTTTTTGTATTTTTTTTTTGTGCGTGTGGGCGAGTGGGGGGGTATTATAGCCTCCACTGGGCTCAGTTCCACACATTGAATTACCTCCAGATGTAATTCCTACTCCCCCCCAACCCCTTCACCCTCAAATTAGTGGCTAGTAAAAATTAGGTTTGAATTAGCCGTGGTGTGGAGAATATGAGAGTTTTAAGTTTTCCATATAATGAGTTTATTATTCTTTGCTAGAATGCCATTTTCCTGAATTAATTTGATCAGGTCTTTTTTTTTAAAGGTGTAATTGGTATCAAGTCGAATGGTGTTTTAGTCATGAATGGATAGCCACTATGTCAGCAGTGAACCCAGAAGGCTGAGGTAATCGGAGGTCTGTAAAGTCCACTTAAAAGCTCCACGTCACAACAGCTTCTGGGGATTATTCCCAAAAGTTTCCCTGTTATCTAATTCATGGTCAGCATCTAATTTTTCATCCGGCATGAAAGCATTTTTTATTGCTACTTGTGAGTGCATTGATGGGATTCCTTGGATGTTAGATAGCGGGTTGTTGCATAGCATATACAGGTGTTGTGCTCTTTTGACTGCCAGTGAAGCTTGTCTCTTTGCCATTCAACTGTGTAGCCGTGGTTCTGGGAATGATAATCTCTTTGGCAGAGCTGGAGCTGTGGGATCCTCAGACACTACAGATCACTGTCATAAATGGGTTTCAGATTCATCCCCTAACAGGAAATCTGAATGCATGAGACGACTATTGAATCCCCCCCTCGCCTTTTTTTCTTTTTGGCCGTTGCTTTAGCTTGATGACATCTCAGTGGCCAAGAAGATAAAAAAACAAAAAAACCACAACAACTCAGTAGCATGTACTTTTCTCCTAGTAGGAATCTAATTAAACCGTAGCTGCCTTTTACTATATGATCATATCTACTGCTGTGAAAAAAGAGAAGTTGTCTTCCATGCTCTATTCTTTCATCTCCTTCCAATCTGCTGTATAACAGGTAAACTGCTGTGAGCTGCACTTGCTTGTTTAAATTTATCCATCTCAGCTGAGCCTTTGATTTCAGCAACTCGTTTAATTCAAATATGTTTTTGAAGAAAAGCTATTTTTCTTTCTTTCTTTTTTTTAGAATTGGGGGTGGGCATCGGAGGCAGCTGCGGTGGTGGGGGAAAATAAGAGGAGGCACTGGAGGGCCAATTTAACCTGGAGTGTCTGTCGCTAGTCTACCAGCTCCTTCGCTTCAAGAGGCCCAGTTAGCTTGAACTGTCTGACTTCTGTCATTTCGATCTCTTTTTATTTTTCTGCTGTAATGTATACTTTAATTCCCGCCCACCTGCCGTCTGTGTGTAGCTACGGCGTCGGCAGAAGCAGCTGGAGGGGAGGTGCAGGTATCATTAAGCCTTTGAGAGGCACCAGCGGAACAGTGCAGAGTGCTATACGTGGCTCCTTGCAGCGCGTGTTGATATTTTTGGGCCCAGTGAATGCACAGCCTAGTTTATTTTCAATAGAAGCGATGGCTGGGTTTGGCCAGAGTGTCCCCTCCAGCTGCTTACTCGGGCTGTTGATATTGAGTCAAGCAAACACTCTCTCAGGGATGTCCTGTTGGGCACTCGGCCAGAGTTGCAAATGGAAGTCACATGTGGAGAATCCCAGAGGAAGGCGAAGAGGCCTTAATTCACACACATTACCAATAATAATCAACTGTGGCAGTACTGGTCTTACTGGAAGCAAAGCCTTTCATTAATCACTGATTTAAAAATGTTGTATTTCTTACAATAGCAGCAAACAAACAAAAGTCAACATATTTATTATGATTATTACTATGATTGCAACAATCGGGGACCCCTCCACCCCCATTGACTTCTCTTGTGTTTCTTTTTTCTTTTTCTTTTTTGGCTTTCAAACACATATGCAAATATATTTGGACACTGTCATTATCATCCACTTAATAGGCATTTCATGAGGGATTTTCTGAATGCACGGTGCAGGGCAAGTTGCCATGGATACCCCGGTGCTTAAGTACAGTATATTAAAATGGTGCTGCCTTCCAACCACTTATATAATCACCGGTCTGTAATGGTCTTTGCTCTGTGGCCATAAGCAACATATCATGTGATCAGCATTGACCAGGACTAGTAAGAGCCCTACCCCCTCATTATGCCTTATTTGGCTTATTCATTTCATTCTTTGTAGGCAGGACTTAGTGGAACAGGAATTATGCTTGTGGAACATTTATGTGACAACTTATGAAAGGACCTTGTGTGTGTGTGTGTGACATGAATTTATTTCTAAAAATGGGAAAATTAAAAGAGGACATTTTAAACCTTATATTGAAAAGTCAGGATTATTGACCTCATATTACACGTGTATATAAAAATAACATATTCATTTTTTTTTCAATACAAGTGTAACATATGTATAATATAAATAGAAACTTGAGTTAACCATAAAGTCATAAATGCAATTTAAGGGCTCATCACCATCCCTGCTTAATTTATTTCCTCTGTGACAGTAAAATGTGTTTATAAAAGCCTTTACAGTCTCCTGCAAGTTCAATCTTGGCTGAGCACTTTCAGTGTCAAGTTGGAAGAATGTGCTTTGAGTAAACCAAAGTATTAAGACAAGCAAATCTTTTTACCTCTCTATAAAAAAAGAGGTTTTCATATGTCAGAGGACTGACATATGAAAACCTTTATTTTTTAAATGCAAAGCTTTTTTAAATGCAAAGCTTTTCCTCTCCATAGTGGTGTAGAACTCAAAAGTTATTTATTTTTAAGCCAACGATTCCTGCAGTGGTAAGGCTGCCCTTGCTAGCGTGCTAGGTGATGAATAATGACGGGTGCTCTACCAATTCCAGGTGGCGCTAAATTTCTGGGAAGTAAGACAACATAAATAGACTTACTGAAAGGTTTGAGAGAAATATACCTATATTACACTTGTAATCTCTGAGAAATCTTTGTGCTTGCCTTTTGTCCTATTTTTTTTTTAATTTAAAAATTAGTGCATTATTTTGTAAATTCAATACATTTAGGCTAATACCTGTTAATAAAATTATAGCTGAAGATTGGCTCCTAGTAGCTGACCTTACAGCAGTGCATGTGCTTTTCAAGGCACACTTGACTTTGTCCCCAGTGCCAGTGTAGCTTTAATTAAAATAGTAGTGGTGTGTTTGTGTGCCTATAAACTATGGAAATTATAGCAGTGCTGGGAGATGGGAAGCATTTATTGCTATCATCAGTGTGGAGTTTGAGTGCGTTTCAGATGCACTGCTCCTCCACTGCTGCTGCTTTTGCCGAGGTTGGTAACCAGCTGCTGCCACCATCGCCCCTCCCCACTGTACCCACCACACATGTCTATCTATCCATCTCCCCCATTTTCTCCCTCTTTCCCCTCTCACTGTTCTGCTGCCACCACATCAAGACGCTGGTGGGCCTGTTTGTCTCTGTTGACCTTGGCAGCAGAAAGCACTGGAAGAAGAGACGTGGGGAACAAATACCTGAAGGGAGAAGGCACAGAATTGTCACAGAAGTGTAGAAACAGGCATAGCATTCCCCCTAGTGAGGCAAATGTTTCTAAGGCCAGGGGCCTCGTGTTTGTCTTTTCCAGTGGGGCACTCTGAGTAGTTTATTAAAGGGGCTGAAGGAGCTTTCTAGCCTGAAGCCCTTAGCGCTGAAAGAGAAATGGGAGAAATTACTGGCATAATGTGGATGCTTAGAGCAATTAACAGCAGTTGTTTAATGTTAGCCCCTTTTGACTCTCTCCGTCGCTGTCTCTTTTTTTTTTCTCTCTTGCTTGCTTTTCCACTCTTGTCATCTCTCTTTCTCTCGCCTGCTTCAGCTCCCACGGTCTCTTTCAGCCTGTCATGATTGTTTGGTGTTTACCTTTCCTGGCTCAGAGCTCAGACAGTTGACACTAATGAAAATGCTACCTTTTTTTTTTTTTTGGTCTGTGTTTGTCTCTTAATAATGATATCATACAGCTAAAATATGCTCCAACAGAGCCGGGGAGATAATGTGCTATTCAGAGGCTGTTAAATTATACCAGTGCGCCGCTCTGAGCTGTGAGTTCAAGTGGTCTTTACCCCGCGTTGGGGGCTACATCTTTACCTAAATAAATCTGTCATAGTTGCCCCGGGTGCCGCTCTTTAAAACAGAAGATTCTTGCACTCCCTATAACCTCTTGCGGCTGCCTGTATGCTCGCACATGTGTGTGTCCGTTAGTGTGAATTTAATTTTAAAGTTGCATCTGTGCCAGATTTAGATGTGTATTTGTGTTTGATTATGTGGCACAAACTTACGTAGGCAAAGGAATAAATAAAAGTCCTCTCTTGTATTAAATCTCTCTGGCCCATGTGGCACTGCAAGCTGGTGGCAGATGGACTAGCTTTCGGCATCTGTTGTGTGCAGACTGGGGGCTTTATACTCCTCTCTCCTGGGGAAGACCGAGCCTTTCTTCTTGCCAGTAGATTCCTGTCTGTTGGAGCGACTAAGAAAAACATCTGTGGCATGCAAGGGAGAGGGAGGGAGAAAAAGGGGAGAGAAAGAGGAGGAAAAAAATTGACAAAAAGATTGGCAAACACCATTAGCCCTAAATGTTCCGTCTCATTGCCTGTTGTGCGTTGTTTACAATGGGGGAAACACGTCAATACATCACACGCAGCACATCTGATCCCAGCCGAGACTCGTTCAGCTCGTTTCAGCTTTTGTCAGCGTCTTTAGCCGGCGATAGGGATTGGCAGCTTTTGCACTTCTAGTAATAGATACTGACCTAATTCATTAGGCTTCAAATATGTGAATGTAACATTTGTACAAGCACATTTTCTCCTTTTATCAAGTAGTAAACCAAGCCTTTAAACATTCTGGCTGAGGGAGAAAAGCTGTGAAATGTTTGTCAGCTTGTGTGTTAATTTTTTTTCTTTTTTCTCTCTGTATATCTTTTTATATTTCTTCCTTCCCTTCCCATAACTGTTTTGTTTGGCCAATCATTTACATTTAAAAATACCTTTTGTTAAGGTATTTATAACAGTTTTAATGATCATCTTAGAAAAATAGTAAGCAAGCATTCGGCATGTGGCGGTCTCGCCAGTTTTCAACCTTTTGTCGTCTCCCTCCCCTCTCAGATTCCTCCAGTACCCCCCCCCCCCCCCCCCATTTCTTTGCCAACTCTCGCCACCCTCCGCCCCCTCCTCTCTGCTCCCCACGACCAGCCCCCCTACCCCGCCGATCAAGCCACTGGTTTTTGTGTACTATTGGTCCTCAGGCGTCAAAACAATCCAGCGGGGCTGCCTGACTTGTTTTAATTAGGCAGCACTGAAACGGCAACTGTCTCTCAGACGTGACCAGGCAGAGGTGCTCTCCCCTCGCACTACTGTAAATACCGCTGTAAATACTTCTCTGGTGATGTCTTTGACAGTAAGCGTCAGCTAGTTACTCTACTTTTTTTTCTTCCTTTTTTGCCTCCACTTTCCTGCCGTCTGTTTTCCGCTACTGGCATTTTCCCCTTCTCTTCATTTTTGATGCACCGTAATGCTCTCAGGTTTCTGAGAATACTTCTTCAAATGCTTCTTACCAGGGAGAGTGGATTTCTCAGTCATTGTTTAAAAGGTAGGTCATTTTATCTGCCTCTTTTGGACTATGTAGGACTTAGTTTTGTGTTAACGTAGCAGTGCTTCGTGATGTCGTGTAACTTGGAAATACACGGCTGTGATATGGCTTAATTGTTTTTAAGTGCCCCGTGCACGGTATGGAGGCTACCGACTGCCGCTGAGCCCTTCACTAATCCCATTCAGACTCTTTGAATCCACACACACACACACACTTTGACATGCACACAATCGGAGCTGAAAGGAAAAGCACTAGTATAAAGCCAGACACACATACCTTTGCGGCGAGTGCACCTCTCTCTTCTCGTACTTCTGTCCCCCTCTTGTCTCAGCAATGCCGACTACACAGAGCAAAGGAGAGAGCAGGTCCGGCAGGTTGTGCGCAAGAGCGATAGTGTGTGTGCACTTGCACGAGGGAGAGAGAAAGAGAGAGACAGAGAGCGTGTGCTCAGAGAAGCAGATGTGCGATTAGAGCGAGAGCAGCGCGAGCCTCCCTGGTAAGCATGCAGGCGAGATGCAAGGGGAGAGCCGGCGAACATCCTGTGACGAGTCACAGCAGTCCCCGTGTGAAGATCCCCACACACTCTCACATACACACACTCTCTCAGTCATACACAGGACCCACCCACACGCAGAGTACCTGCACACACACACACACACACACACTTAGACATTTGCACACGGATGCACATGCTTTATTGCTACTTTTTGGAAGTAGCTGAGATAAATAAAAAAAACTTATCTCAGATTTATTTTCTAAAAATGCATCAAAAGCAGAGCTTTACCTAGTAATTGCGGTATTGCTCATTTCCACTAAACCGGTGAATGAAATGATTAAGTGGTGTTTTCCTGTAATTGCAAAATTTCATTATCTTCAGACTTAAAAAAATGATGGTCTAATTATATCCAGTGCGGAGAGAGAAAGAAGCCACCGTCTCTCTGTCATAAATTTCCATTTTGTACACTACACCCCCTCACCCACACCCCCACCTCCCTCCTTCCACACACACACATGCGCGCACACACGCATACACACGCCCTCCGCTGTCCCTCTCCCATTCTTTTCCTTCTCTCCCCCAACTCAAGCCTCCTCTTTCGGGCCTGCATGTCCGACCTGCACAAGGGCCCCCCGATCGGTAATTGCCCCGGTGACAACTGGAAATGATAGAATAATTGTCAGGAGAGGCGTCTGGGCTTTCTCTTTTTTTTCCCCTCTTTTTTTCTTTTTTTTTTTAATGGGGCGAGTGTGATTTAAGTATGCATGAATGGTACAGTGGTGGTGAGGTGGCAAGAGAGGGAGAGGAGAGGAAAGGAGAAGGGGGGAACTGGGGCGGGGGCTGTGTGGCGGGTGGTGAGAAGTGTAGGGGGGGTTGGTGGTGGGGGGTGGCTTGTTTATGATGCCATCCCCCATAAACACGGCTAAAGTGATGACACAGATAGTGTTGCCTCTTCACACGGTGACACCAGTCGACTTGGGGCCGTTGCAGCTAGACACCCTCGGCGGTGGCAGAGCCAAGTACTCTGTTCCTCGGTCAAGCTCTCTGGCACTTCTCACCTTCAGGTAAAAAAAAGAAGAAAAAAAAAAGTCAGGCAGACTGTCCATCCATCTATTTATCCATCAATCCATCCATCATTCATCCAGCCATCAATCCTCTGTCACCCATAGTCGACTTCAGGCTCTTGGCTGTGTTTAATGGTTGTATTTTATTGCCGGGCTGTGTCTCCTGCCTTCCCCGTTGGTCGTCCCACTGTGTAACCGTTCAGCCTTGGTCTGCGGGCTCTGTTAATCTGCTGCTTAATTAGTGTTGATGAATGGCTCAGTGTGTATGGCTGTGTGTGTGTGTGTGTCTATGTGCATGCGTACAAGTGAGCACGTGTGTGCTGGTTTTGGCTTTGTGTGTGTGTGTGTGTGTGTGTTTGAATGAATTCGTGTGTGTGTGTGTGTGTGTGTGTGTGTGTGTGTGTGTGTGTGCATGAACTTGCTGTGGTATTTTCTGCTCTTGTACTATTTGGATAGTGTGTGTGTGTGAGTATGTGTGTTTTTCAGATGTTGCTACTCGCTTGCTAAGCTAATCATTGATCATTAAAATCAAGAGGACAGTGATGCACCACTATGATTAAGCCGAATAAAAGGGCACAGCCACTCAATAACCTTTCATAAGCTAATAACAATCAAATATTAATCAGCTGCAGATATGTGTTCTGAGAGGGCAAAGCTGTTACTTGAAGTTTGACTTATTTGTTTTTCTCCCATCTCTTTGCGTGTGGAGGGGGAAAAAATCCCAAACTCTTTGGAGCAGACGTTTAGTTTGAAGAGGAGAGAGGTCACAAGACTGATAATTGGTGAAGCACTAATTATCTTTATCAAAGGCGAGTGGGATCATTTGTTTACTTAAATATTGATGAGGGTGAGCAAGGCATGGTATTGGGCTATTGTGGGCATATTATTAACATTTTATAGGGCTTTGTGCAGGAATGTGAAAGGGACTCCTCTTCATAATTTAATACCCTAATGCATAATGAGCTATGTGATTAGTTCACATGGAGAATTGGCCAAACTCCATTTTGAAGGCAGATAATTTACATTGTTCTCTAGAGTCTGGCATATAATAGGTTCTTTAGCGCAATAAAATTAAATGCTACACATTTTATATTTCAGCTTACAAATCCCCCTGGCAGTATTCAGTTTTAAGTCTTCTTTTTCTGTTTTCTTCTATTCCTCCCCAAAAAAGAAATAAAAAGTGGGGAAGTGAAATTTAAAATTGTTAGACTAAAACACATGTTTACCTACATGTTTTATTTAGAATGCACACTCACCAATTAACACTGTTCATTAGCAGAGCTGCGTTATTTGTTTTGAAAGTTTAACCAATCACTTTGTTATGCTAATTGTGATGTAATTTAATTTGAGTTCCCGTAATGATGATGCCGCTATTATCCACATAAATGATGCAGTTAAGCAGCACGGCCTCATTTGCATGTGCTTGAAGGGAGAGAGGCTGAAAGGAGCCGGCTCCCGTATCACTCCGCTTTAATTTTCCACCTCTGTTCACTGCTGCCCTTTGGGTCTTCCTGGCCTGTCACCGGCTATTGATGATCAGCACTTTTATCTGATTATTATTTTTTATTTTATTATTTTTTTTAATGACAAAGTGGCCTTTTATTTGCCTGCTAACAGATTTCTATGACTACAATCTGGGGAGATTAAGCGATCGAAATACGAGGCGTTTACAAAATGCGGATGAAAATTTCCCTGCTGATTGTATTAAACATTAAGGTAACAGTTGATTTGCGTGCGCACACCTGCATGGATGCCTTACTTTTCATTTTCAGTGTCTCTGTTTTGGCTGTTGGGTGGGGGGGTGAAGGCGGGAGGGGGGGGGGGGGGGGGTGGCTTCTTGAATTTAACATTTCCACATCAAAGTGGTTCTTTGTTGGTGCTCTGGCTTAATTTTTAATCTGTTGATTCCATCAGGATTTTTTTAGATTGGACATTATTGTGATGTGATTTGGACACTCAGGTATGTTTTATTTTAAAGCAGAGGTGCAGTCAAGCAGTCTATGCATACACACACTCAGCGGTCTCTGTATATATATATTTTTTCTTTTTTTTCATCCTAAGAGGAGCGGGATCGTTTCTTCTTTTTCTTCCGAGTCCCCAACCTTTCTGTGCAGAAAGTCCAACTAAGCCAAAGTTAAGGACATCTCATTATCTGTTTTGTCGTTGGCTAGACTTTAGTAATTTTCCTCAGAAGAGATGATTTTTTTCCCCCCCTCCTTACCAAACCCACCTTTTTATGCTTCTAATTGGTTACATAAATCTTGTCTGGTATGAATGAGGAATGTTGCGGTGTTGTCAACTGCAATCTTCACCCTTATTTACCAATTCATTAAGATCTATCGATGCAGGACTGCTGAGAGGGAATGACAACATAAATCAGAGCTCGAGACATAATGGCCCTAATCAACCAGAAATAACTGGAAACGTCACAATGAGCTATGTCTCTGTAGCTGTGTCAGACGCGGCTGGCTCCCCTGCGCCTGTCCGCTGGATCTGTGGAGAGGAGCGGAGAGTCAGACCCATCCAACTGTCATTAGCTCCTCTGATTTTTCTCAGCAAGAACACCAGAGCAACGTGAAGAATTTTGTCCATTTACTTCTTTTTTTTCTTATCCAGTCCTTGCAATGTGTCAAAGCAGCTCAGTTTTGATCACTTACAGTATTTTCTGAGTGAAACACTTCCAGATACGATGTCTATAAATACAGTTAGGTCTGGAGTGCCTTGTATTCGCCGCGCACCTCCTCTCCTCGTGATAAAGATTATTGCACGAGACAATGAGGCCTCCCCTCTTTATAGGTCAATTAGCCCTGATTAGGTGGGCTGAGTTAATTAATGAAATTGGCAAATATGCAAATGAGAGCCGACTGATCGGGCTTTCGTCACTGTCTCGCTCGCCCACAGCGGCAGGGCTGTCTACAGCTTCAACAGAACGAGGTGCCTGATAGGTAACATGTAAATGATATGGGTCGAGCCTAAATGCAGGAGAGGACTAGTCTCTCTCCTCCTCTTTTTCCATCAGGGGACAAGCCGTGCTGCACTAATATTTCAAAGACGTGTGCATTTATTACTATACCACATAAATCTATTAATAGTAAAATATTTTGTTTATAATTTTTTTTCTTGATTTTTAATGAGATACTAGTGGATTTTATTTTATTAATACCAATGCTTGCCTTTCATATCCATTTATATTAGTAACTGGATAGCTGGTGTACAATGAATATTTTGCTATTATTATATTTCAGAGCTGGTTGCATTCACATAACACTAATTTGTATTAACGCAGTATCATTCCCACTATTCCTGAGTGCCTCTTGCATTTGAATCTAAAGAGACATTGTGCAGATTGTACAATTGAACATGCACTTTACACTCTTTCCTATGGTCCTCTTTGTCATTTTATTCACCCCCTTTCTTTCTTTCTTTCTTTCCACTTTCTGTTCTCCACTCTGACACACTCTCACACATCCATTCAGGGACACTTACATACTGTGGCAAATAGTCTGTCTTTTATCTTATTCTTTCTCATCTCTTTATTGTAAATAGAAGAGAATTAAGTTCTGAACATTCTTGACTGAATGTCTCCTATCACAGAACTACAATTTATTGTCAGCTCAAATGAAGAATTGAAATATGACTGAGGTTTTTCTCAGTGTAGGGGCTCATTGGACAGGAGATAACCACATTTGATTCCGTTGCTTTGAATAATGTTAATCTGGAAAAAAGCAAAGTCCATTATTCATATTCATCTCTTTTCATTTGGCCCCACTCCTGATTTTGTAAATATGATTTCTTCAGCTACCACCCCCACACCCCTTTTTTTTTCCAAAGCAATCTTTATTCACCAGTGAAGCACTTTTGAAATTCCTCTATCTGAGAGCAGAAACCATTACCATACACAGGTTTATAAGAAGTAGTCATTAATGCTCTTTTATGGTGGCCTTTTAGTGCCAAAAGGGAAGCTTTTAATTCTAAGGCACGGCAGCCTGGCTCTCCTTACTTAATCCGGAGGACTGGGTTGTGTCGAATGTAGCTTTCCAAGTGGTCGTTTTTCCATCTCAAACTCCAAACTCGCTACAAGAAGCTGTAGGTTGTAATGAATTGCTTGTGATGTCCCCCCTCGTGCTGTGACAGCTCACTGGCAGGGAAAAAAAACAACAATTCACACTGAGGTACAAACAGATATATGATCACAATCAAAGATTGTTTGAAGGCATAAAATTTGTAGATTAAGTTATTAAACTTTTTGCCAGTCATTATTTAAAATTCAGTGATTTTTTTTTAGCATCGTTTTTTTCAGTCAAGCACATACGTGGCATTTTGATTTATTAAGCAATCTGAAGTATTGAATATGTGAGCTTTTGCCCTTGCCTAGTTACTTCTTTATTTTGTATGCATAGTAACTTATGGCAATGATGAATTAATTTCACTCAAGCACAGAATCTGTGATTATTTTAAATGGTAACCATATCTAGACTTGATCAGAGAGCTGTGAGGAGTCAGCAGACTGTGAAATGTAATTTCTATTATTATTAGATATATTTTTTTTTTCATTCTGAACTCACACACCAAAAGAATTCCATCCAACCACCTGAAATGTGAACCGATAATGAACGGACGTCTGGGATCACAGATTTACCGGTCACTTTTTTTTCCTCCGCCCTTTCTTTTGTGTCATCCTAATGAAAATATTTTTTGCAACTCATGCATGTAGAATGTGAAAATGGATCTGTGTTTTAGATAGACACAGTGGAGAACATCCTCATGCTGAGAATGGATAGCCCAGGGACTCTGAACAAAAATTCCTCAATGTTCCCCAGACTGTGTTGGAGCATTGGAGACAGCTGTGTATTCCCACTAGATGGATTGCCAGTGTCATAGTGTGTGTTTACTGCACATGATAGAGCGGGAGACAGGCCAGGTAATGAGGCTACATTAAGGGCTTTTAGAGCTCGCAAACAAAGATGGAGGGCTGCTTCTTTCCCCTTTAATGATAGGTGTGTGTTTTGTCGTGTATGTGCAGAACTGGGAGTGTGTGTGTGTGCGACTAAGGCAATGAAAGGCTCAATTTTCCTTACACCTTTGTTGTGTCACTTCTCCAAAGAAATCGGAGAATTTCTCCAGATTTCTGGGCCAAACGCCCCGTCGGGACACTTTCTCAGATTCCTGACGATGCAAGATTCAACAGTAAATATTTGCTATAACTGAAGAGGAAGCAAGCAATCGAGTGATTGTAGAGTTGCACACGAAATGAGACAAAAGCTGGAGTTGCTCTGAAGCTTTGCAAAATGAAGTGTCTTTTCTTTCTGTTGAACCTCTATCCTAATAGAAATGTTGGTGCCTTCAGCGACAGTAAATTTAGAGTGCTCAAAGCTATCTTCATCTCTTATAACCCAAACGCCGAGTATCACTGTCATCTTCCTTCCCAAAGCTATACGTCTGCAGAATTACCAGCATATTACCAGGTAATAACAGGCTTCCTCTTTGCTTCCGATCATGATAATAAGTGGTCTAGGTTCTCCCTCATTGGAAGATTATGGCTTGAGGAAATGGCATCAAATAGCGGGTGTGTTGAAATGCAGGACACCAATTTATGGATGTCAAACACACGTGCAGGCAAGCCGGCAGCCGGCAAGCCTCACTCATGCAGCAATAAAGCAGCCACATTGGAACGACGGCCTTGGCGGATATTGTAGCTGGAGGTGGCGTGGTTCCTTCCAACCCAGTTGGTTCAGGACAGGCTGAGCTGGGGTCAGGGCTGGTACCCCTCAGGGAGAGGGCACCGTGGTGGGCTCATGCACATATACAGACGCAGTCTTACATGCATGCTTCATACAGTCACGCCCCCAGGTGCAGAGCATTGTCACTCTCGAGTATTGTGCATGTGTTTGTGCGCACACACGCGTGTATGTGTGTGTGTGTGTCTATCTGTGACAGTTCCATCACCCCCACAGTCAGATCCACAGCTTGGTTGCCCGCTCGTCATTGCAGCCTGGCTGTGTTTCTAATTGACATTCTAATTGGCAGATTTGAATGCCGCCTTTAGATGGCTAATTAATTTATCTCACTGCTGTCATTAAGGTTAAAGCACCATCTGATCTCTGCGAATATACTTTGCATATATCTGCATTATCATTATGTTGCAGATTTTATTTTGGAGGAGGTGAGGAAGATTATAGCGTTGAGATTAAGCTGGCCATCTTATTATTTATGTATTCAGATTCAGATTTTTCTAACAGTTTTTTTTAACCCTTTTTTCTTTATTTGACTTTAACTTTTTATAAATAGTAATCTGATGTGAGCTCAGATTTTTCTTTTAAAAAAAGAGTAAAATCACATTGATTTGTTAATATCAAAGTAGCAATTTTCCTTGGATTTCCACCATAGTTTGCGTTGCATTCAGATGTTATTAAAAATCCTCATTTCCTCGTCTCTTATATCTTCAGGTTTTCCGAACATCCGTCGCCGGTCCAAGAAAGAAAGCAGGAAAAAAAAAAAGAGAGATCCAAGCTCCATTAAAATGTTCATAAAATCATAGTAAAGGCAATCAGACAGTCTTTCTCTGAATATTTTAAACATTGGGCATGTAAAATTTATGCCTAATTTGAATACTTATTAGCCGGCTGATCTCGGCTGCAGCCTTGAGTTTCTTATGCTGAGATTCATCACCGGATTGGATGTCACATTGTGCCAGTCTCTCTCTCTCTCTCTCTCTACCTCCCCCCTGAAAACATCACCACCTTCCTCCCTCTCTCCATCCCACACCCTCTCTTCCTCTCGCACTCCTTCACTTTCATTCTTCTCCTCTGCCTTTCTTCGTCATCCCCCACCCTTTCTGTCTATCTCTGCCTTCTTTTACTGCGTCTCTCTCCATCAGTAGTGAGCGCTGCGGTGTTAAACAGGGGCCTGTTTGTTCACAAGCACGCCTTGTCCTGGCCTCTTCCCTATTTACTTGTGTCCCGGGCAGCTGTCGCCCTGCTCTGTGTAATAGCTCAGCCCTGTTTGTTCTCCCTGCCTAGATCCTGTTTATCCTGGCTGTGGACATCCTTTAAGGCCTGTCCTGTATCTGCCCCTCGTCAAACACTCACACATGCACACACACACACACAAACACAGTGAAGGGACGTGTACACACTTCTATTAAAATGGTATTTACAGGCCAAAGAATACACACGGTACCCATGTGGGCTGGGCACAAATGCACACAAAAAAAGTGCATTCACACACAATCATTATCATTGTTTGTCCCTCTCTGGTTGCATATATATGGATTCAGTCGTGGTGGTGGTGGTGGAGAAAAAGAAGCTGTAAAAATATTTGTTTTAAAATGTAAAAAGTAGTAATAGGACTGGAAATATTGACAGCTTTTTAAAGCAAGGTTCCTCCATAAGAGAGTCACTATATTATTTTTTTTATTAAAAAGGGGTATATTTTTAAAAATTAATTGTCTCACATTATTTTTTCCCCATTTTAATTTTCAGCATTTCAGAATTTCTTTCTCCTGCACACAATTTGTGATTGCGGAGTGCTTAAGTTGTCTTTTATTTATTGTGAGAACTGATGTTGGCGCTGCTCTTCTCTGCCCCAGCGAAGGTACAGAGCATTAAATGCAGAGGATAATGATAAAACATTTATTACTGGAAAGAGAGGAGGTAATATGCATAATTTATGCTGTTTTTAGCACAATCATTAGTGATATTCATGATAGAATCCTTTCTTCATCCCTTTTTTCTTCTTCTCAATTTTTACCCAAGTTTTTCCATATCTAATAGATGCTGACAGAATTAATTCAATTTCCTATATTTATTTACACTTTTTAAAATGTGGTTTTGACTTGTAAATCTGCCAGCAGAAACTTTGAGGTGTGGAAATAAATATCCACACCAGGGATATTTATTTTTTAAATGTGGTAAAATAAATGAATGTATAAGGTTTGATTAAAGAAGAGAGTGGAGAAAAACATGATTCAAGCCAATAAAATGAATTATGAGCGTTCTTTCTCTATGGAAGCCTGCGAGGCAGATTTTCTTTAGCCACAGCAAGGATGACAAACCCATTATGGTGTTCATCACCAGCCCTGCACCATGTGATTTGGTGCCGCCTCCTCCACCTCCTCCTCCTCTTCCCCGCCACCAAATTTTAATTTTGCATGATTAGCCTTGCGTCATTAGGCAACTTCATTCAGATGCGAAACACACGAAAAATCGGACAGCTTCCAGACGGCAAATATTTTAAGAGTGCCCTCGCTTCTGTATTTTCTGTCCGTGGTGCCTGGCCGTCCTCAAAGTGCAATGGAGATATTAAGAATTAAGCACATGTTATTTAAGAATCCCATATTTTATTTATTTATATATATATATTTTGCCTTTAATTCCTACCAGTGTATTATGTGTTTTTTATAATGCAAATACTAATAAAGCAATGCAGGTGCTCTGATTTACAGCCAAATTTTAGTGGCTTTAAAACCACATTTAGATATTCTTCCCATTTCAGAAAGCACCAGGACATGCATCTCTTTGTATTGCTTCATTTACACAATGAATGCATAATTGCTCCTCCTGCATCCCCCCTTTCTCCTTTCCCCCCCTCCCTCTTCTTTAAATGCTTTAATTTGCAGAGGGGGACTGAGGGCTTGATAATGGAAGCGTAAAAAAAAAAAAAATAGGAGGGAAAAAAAGGGGGGAATTGTAACAAGAAGAGCCCTAACCGGTGCCTCTTAATCACTTCTAGGTTTTAAATCATGATGATGCAGGAGTCGGCCACAGAGACAATAAGCAACAGTTCAATGAGTCAAAATGGAATGAGCACCCTAAGCAGCAGCCAATTAGAGGCTGGCAGTAGAGATGGGAGATCAAGCGCTGGTGACACAAGCAGCGAAGTAAGCACAGTCGAGCTGCTGCATCTGCAACAACAGCAGGTAAGTTGTGTTTCTCCCCGTCTCGTCTCTCTTACTCTCTCTCTCTCTGCCGCTCTCTCTCCCTCACACACTCCGTTTCCCCCTCGCTCTACCTCTCCGCTCTGCTGTGCTCTCTTCTCAGGCAGCGCTGGGGTGTTCTACATAGGCAGGAGGCACAATGAATTATGTTGTTTTGTGTATGTGTGTGTGTGTGTGTGTGTGTGTGTGGCATTGTTGTTTTTTAGGCATGTGGAAAACACATTGTTTATATAAGAGGCTGTTTAGGTTGTTGGTAAATGTTCTCGGCAGTTTGTTGTGCTGACAGCGTGCTCTGCTTGAAGCTGCTGCCTCCAGATGATGCTCAGAGTGTTTTGCTGCTACTGTTTTAGTTTAGAAATTCAGCTGTTATTTTTTTATTTCATGTTTTGCTTAGTTTTTTTCCACTAGCATTTGAATTTGGGAATATATTGGGGGTTGTTGCTGCCCTGTGAGGCCATGTGAGAAATGTAGTGCGTGTGTGTGAGACAGAGAAAAAGTGCATGACAGAGGGAGAGAGGACAGAGAAAGAGAGAGCGTGTTGGAGCATCAAACGGACCAGTTTGGACAGGGAGAGTGTGTATCTGCGCGCATATGCATGGGTGTGTATGTCATGGCTGCGCTGTATCCACCAGAGGGCCTCCTAACTCGCCACTAGTTGGAGGCTCTCACACAGATGCAGACATTCTAACCACAGACCCACCAGCAGGAGAGAAACCTTTGACCGGGACGCTTTTGATTTATAGCTTGCAGTCTCCGATCTTCACTTCCCTTCAACTAGCAAATACTTTAGATGTACTTTTTATAGTTTTTCCATAGTTTAGTTATTTATTGTATCGATTTTATTAAATGGCGCTTCTTAGAGGCACCGCTGATCACGAATATTTGATGCCTGCTTTTTTTTCCCTCCCTGCCAACACATGTTTCATTGTACCGCTGCTATTCATCTCAGTCACAGCAAGTTGAGGGTGAATTAACTGCAGGGTGCGGGGGGAGGGTGGTGGAGCGGTTGGGGGGCAGGAGTTGTGAAAGTCAGTCGCCAGCAGAGTAAAGGAGTCAAGTGTCTCTCGTGTCTTTTCACGGTGAATGATGGCTTTGACAGTTTGCCAAAAGAGCAGTGGGAGATTAGGTCAGAGGGCCATGCTTTGGGGTAGATGGAGGACAACACCGCGGGTTTTGTAATGATGCGTGCTGTCCTTTGGGCTAATGGTGAAATTTTCATGCGAGTGTGTATTTGTATTTATGTGAATTTTTCTTTTCTTCTTTCTTTTGGTGGCAACTGAAGCCCTGTGGTCAATTTGGCGAGGGCGGAACAATACGTGTCGATGAGTTTCTGCATGTGTGTATACGGGCTATTCAGTGTAGCAAAATGAAGCTTGTCCTGGAGCACGCCCCCCCCCCCCCCCAAGTCCACCATCACCTCTTCTGTTCCCCATAAGCCCCATACCATCCAAACACCCATTCTCCACAACCCTATTCACCCCTGCTGGTGGCTTCAGCTGCATTATAGCACTGTGGCCTCATCCTCCTGCTTTATCACCACTCTGCCACTCTTCCTACACACACACGTATGATTGGGGTCAGACCTCTCTTTCTCTCAGGCATCACTCGTGCATTTGAAGATGTTGGGTAGATTTCGGTAATTCTCTCTTCTTTTTCTTGACAAATTAATGGAAAAACCACCACAGTGCCCTAGTAAGGTGTTGAGCGCCCATGTGTGACCAGAACACCTCTAAGGCACCTTGACGCAGATTCTTCAAGTTTCTGAAACTCTACTGGAGTGATGGAACACCGTTCTTTTAAAAAGATATTCCCTTTTCTGTGTTTTAATGATGGTGGTGAAGAGCACTGTCTGACATGTCATCTCTCAGAGGTGTTTAATCGGGTTGAGATCGAGTGGGTTTGAAGGCCGTAGCATGTGATTCACATCAGATTCATACTCAAACCACACAGTGAGTCCTAGTGTCCTTTGAAACAGAGCACAGTCATTATGGAAGAGACCATTCCCATCAGGAGAGAAATCCTAAGATAAAGGTGATCCCTGAGAAAACTTTGAATTGCTTTACATTTCATGTTATATGTTTTATTTTATTAAAATTGCAATCTGAGCAGTAGATTTAGAGATATTAGACTGTGTACTCAAAATGTAATTGAAAAGAATGGATAAAAGTGTGTCTGTCAGTGAAAATGAAAAAAAGTGCCGTTAAAAATTTTAAAAAGGCCACAGCACTGAGAGGTGGAAAAAAAGCAATGTAAGCATAAGGTGTCTAGTTAAGTCTGTGAGATGGACATACGGCTGAGAGCTGTGATGGTGTGCGGTTGGGGTTGGGTGGGGGGGTATGACAGTATGCGTCTCGTAAAGAGGCCAGCCCGAGCCTTCTCCCAACCCAGAGAGAGACACATTGAAATGAGCAGTCCGGCTAACAGGTCTCTGGAGGCTTTTTAAAACAGGGGCCCTGTGCTGTTAACTTCACACACTTCCTGTGGTGTGCTCACACTGCAAGCACAGTTCAACAAAAGGATGAGGTTAGATTAAAAAATATATATATTTTATATATACATCTGTTAGCACTGAGCACTGCTGCTTTTGTGTGACAGATGTGATATTGACAGGCGTATATGCAGCATGGACCCTGTGTGGCCATATACACATGCATCCATATATGCTTGCACTTTTTTTACACTTCAATGCAGCTTAAAAAAATTTCTATCCACGTTTGCTCCGAGTCCATTTTGAAGGAATGCAGTTGAATGTAATTTTCCACCCACATTTGGAATGACATTGAGTGGTCCAGTGGGTATAGAAGCTGCAGCCTCTCATCACGCTGCTGGGGGGATGATTAATAATAAGCACTGATGAATTCTCCACTGTCCCTATGGGTTCTGCCATTACCTAGCAGCTCCAAAATACCACCTGCAGCTATAATTAGAAAAGCAGCATCTTCAGGTCTCGACACCTTAGATTCGGCCAAAGTCTGTAAGATCAAGATGAAGTAATGCACACAGTTTTTCCACATCCAGATTTCAAAAGTTGAGATTTTCCTTTAATAATAATCCACTATTATTTCATTTAAGATAAAGTGAATATCTTTTACAAATTTGAATGTCTTTCGTTTTTATGCAGGTCATTGTGTTCAGTGTAAAAGCCACACATTTCGTTATCCAGCTATCTGAATAATAACCATTGTCACAATTAAATTTCCAGTCCTTAATTTCTGTCAGGGTTTCATCACCCCGTTCCCAAGGTTGTCTAAATAGACCTAATTTGATTTGAGATCACAGATTAGATACCCACTGTATCTGATTGCAATTTGCCAGCTGCAGATATGTATCAGAGCAAATGATGAATGTTACACAGCTCTAATTGCTATGCAAAATGATCACTATAAAAGCTCTCTTGTAGAGCAAAAAAAAAATGTGCTGAGCTCATAGTAGCAATCTATTTGTCATTGACCGGAGTTAGCTTTATGTTTTAATAGTATATGCTGCCAAGTATGTACATGGAAGTCATGCATCGATCTTTGGGTCTGTAACATAATGCCCTATAATGAGCCTGTTAGTTGATTACAGTGTTCTGTAGACTTAATCCTGCCAGGGTTATCAGTGGGATTGATGAGCCAATGCTCAGAACTGCTGCCCTCCTTTAAATGGGCTGAGTTCCTACAGTAGGAAATATATTGATATTCAGAGCAAGATGGAGGCACGGAAGGCTAATGTATTATGGTTGGGTCAGCCACTGTAACCAAAGACAGCTGTATGAACAACCACTGCGATCTGCTACTAGTCTAAAGACTTCACTCATTAAAATCCAGTATAATTAGAAAATGCTGGCTTCATATTTTTGTATTTTCATAAACCTGTTCCTGTGATTTTTTTTAAATTAATTATATTTTCTTTTTTGCATGCAATGTGCTTTCTGCTTGCATGCTTGCTGGCCAAATATTTATTTTGTGCAAAAGGTGCCACTTACGGCTGACAGAGGCAGAGTTCTACATGTTGGTAAACTGGTTAGGTATGCGTTTTACCGTTTTCCTGAGGCACATGATGCAGCAAAATGCAAACTATCCAACCCCATTTAAATGAGTGCAGCATTTTGACATAAATTACAATAAGTGCGCCAAGGTGCCATCTTACTTCTAGGCTACCCCTGTCGCTACACAAGAGCTAGGCAGTGGTCCAACTTGAGAGTGACAGCAATTAACCTGCCTTCCTAGCTGTTTAGCTGGAGGAAATGGAAGGGATGAGAAATCTGACAGCAAGTGATGGGTAGTATTTAGGGTTTAGGGGCAAATTAAATTCTCCCCAAAATGAAAGTCATTAGGGAGAAAGTTACCCCACAGACAAAGGACAAAATGACAGTGTGTGTGTGTGTGTGTGTGTGTGTGTGTGTGTGTGTGTGTGTGTGTGTGTGTGTGTGTGTGTGTGTGTAGGTGTGCACGCTCTTATTTGACAGACATATGAGCTCATCTTCCTCTTATAACAACTCAAGTTTGTTGTTTAGTATAAACTGGGTACTGACACACAGTCTTCCCCTACCATCCCTTCCCATAAACAAGCCTCGAGCATCTTTCTCTCTATGCCCTTCACCTGCCTCTCTGTCTGTCTCCTTGTACTGTATTTGAGAAGCAAGAGAGACACACACATACACACACACACACACACACACACACACACACACACACACACAGACAAACACGCACATACCTAAGATGCAAATCTGGGCTTTGCCCTTGAGCATAATTTAAAGGCCTAATCACCCAGACTGTCCCTTTGGATGGAATAGGGAAGGAGGGAGGGGAGGATGGTGTCTCTCATTTGCACCCTTACACAAAGAAGCTCATTAGGTTTATCTTTCAGGCCTGAGATTGCCCCACTCAACTGTGTAAATAAGACACTGGCCCTGGCCTGATGCATCAATCACCTCTCAGGACAGGAGAAAGACCTCCACTGAAATATGAACGATTTCATAAAGGAGCCTTTTGTTA